TGTGGGGGAAGGGCGGGAGCGCTTTGTTGGGGGTGCGAGGTACACTGTGAGGGGGCTGGATCGCTGTCTGATGTGGGGGGGGGTTGGAGGCGGTACGTAAAGGGGAGGGGACTTGGAGGCGCTTTGAAAGAAGGGAGACTGTTTAATGGAGAAGGGTGGTGGGCCAGAGTGTAGGGGTGTCGGAGGGTCTGCGGGCACTATCTGAGGGGAAGGGGTTGTAGGCCCCGGTTGAGACGGGAGAGCAGAACCCCCAGTACCCTAGCAGTTTAGGGCAATGTAGTAACTCCAGGAAGGCATTTGTGTTCTGGGTTCTAGGAGCAAGGATGATGGAATTAGTGGGATGAAGAGGCCAATCTGTTGCACTCCTGTCTGCTCAGCTTTTAACTCCACCTTCTGGCCTGGGCACTGAGAGGAGCTGGACCCTGCTTGTCACCAGGGCTTGTGTGACTGTCTTCTCAGTCTATTTTGGATCTGTCCAACTGAGACTGGGGTTTCTTCCCCTAGCTGATGTCCCGGGGGACCCTTCCCCCACTGTGTTCCTGTCAACCCCCCATCCTAGTTCCTGTTCCTCCCAGAGCCGGCCTTGGTCTCTGTCTCCCCCTCCCCCGCCCTGCCCTGCCCTTATGCTCTGGGTGTGCTCATTTCCCACTTCCTTCCTTGCCCCAGGGCCTGGCCTGGCCCTTGCCCATCTAGGAGCTGTGCCCTGCCCAGAACTTTGTACTCAATGACCAGAGACCCTGGTAACCAGCAGCAGGGCTCAGACCCCACCCCCACCACTACCACCCAGGTCTCTCACATAGCCCCCCAAGCGATTGGTAGCCACATTTTGCCACTTGCCACCAACTGGTTTTCCCCACTCTTTATTTTTTATTTTCCCCACTCTTGTCCTTCCCCTGGGTGGGGAACCCTAGGGCTTCTGTGGGAAGGGGGAAGTGGTGAGGAGTACTGAGGATCTTCAATCTCAGAGGAGGGCCACTACTGTAAGCTGAACGCAGTAAGGGGTGTGAGGTTCCAGCCTCAGCTTGGGGAGAAAGAGGGAGTGGCTCCCCACATTCCCTGCTTGAAAGCACTATCCGGACAGAGACTAGGACCTAGTACTCTTGAGGGCTCCTCAGCTTCCCTGAGGGGATTTGATGGAATGCCAGAGTTCTTTTTGCCCCTGGGCTGGCTGGGAGAGTGTGGGAAAGACTTGAGTTCCACACAGTGGCTGAATGAGTCTGACAATATTGCTAAAAGGGGCCCCAAGCCAGCCTCCTCACACAACCACTCAGGAGCTGAGAGACTGGCTGAGGAGGGGGGTGTGCTGAGGACAGACAAAGCCCTGGGGTAGGGTGGGGTAAAAAAGGGCAGGCTGAAGCCTTTTGAGGAGGAGCTGATTGCTATGGAAACACTGCTTCCCAGACAGTCTCGCGGAGAGGGCGGGCCTAGGGCAGACTCTCTCCAGCTTCCTCGGGACTGGAGAGGTTTGTGTGAGTGGGTGGGGCATGAAGAGGCAGGGCATCAGTTTGCTGTGCTGAGACTGAAGGATGTAGCCTTTCTGCTTTGGTACAAGCTGCAGAGCATTTGAATGCCTGGACCTATCCTCTGAAATGGATATGAGTGAACAATAGTCATTAGAATTATAGCACTAAGGCCGGGCGCGGTGGCTCAAGCTTGTAATCCCAGCACTTTGGGAGGCCGAGGCGGGTGGATCACAAGGTCGAGAGATCGAGACCATCCTGGTCAACATGGTGAAACCCCGTCTCTACTAAAAAAATACAAAAAATTAGCTGGGCATGGTGACACGTGCCTGTAAACCCAGCTATTCAGGAGGCTGAGGCAGGAGAATTGCCTGAACCCAGGAGGCGGAGGTTGCGGTGAGCCGAGATCGTGCCATTGCACTCCAGCCTGGGTAACAAGAGCGAAACTCCGTCTCAAAAAAAAAAAAAAAAAAAAAGAATTATAGCACTAATAGGCCAGAGCTGCAGAGGCCCTCAGCAATCATTGTCTATACAATCCCCTCATTTTATAGGTTTAGAAATTTATGGCTAAAGAGACAGTGATTCCCCAGGTGTCACAATGAAAGGGCATAAGTTAGGATCCAGCTCTCCTGATTTGCTGTTCACTCAGCCCAGGGCCTGTTGTTTTCTTCAATCAATGTTTATTGAACATGCCAGGGACTAATGTTGACTCTGGGAATATGAGCGTGAATAAAACAAAGTTGCTTCTCTCATGGAGCTTCCATTCTAATAAGGGGAGAAAGAAATTGTGGGGAGGAGGGAGGGAGAAGTCAAGTAGTGATAACTGCTATAGAAAAATAAAGCAGAGTAAATTTAGTGCAGCAAGGTAAGGCCTCATGGTTGTACCATGCTGCTTTCCCAGGATACACTGAGGCCTGGAACAGCTTTGATCCTTTACCCTGAACTATTGTCTTCTGACCTTTGTAGGTAACTAAGCCCTGGCCTATAGTAGTGACAGAAAGATAGAAGAAAGAATACGGTGGGGTTGCTAAGGGATTATTTTTTTCCTACAGTGTTCTATGTCTCTACCTGTTTACCTAGTAAGTTTTTTTTTTTTTTTTTAAGATGGGGTTTCACCGTGTTGGTTAGGCTGGTCTTGAACTCTTGGACCTCAGGTGATCCGCCCGCCTTGGCCTCCGAAGTGCTTGGATTACAGGCGTGAGCCACCACGCCTGGCGTCCTAGTAAGTTTTTAACTAAGGCAACTAGGCTCTTTTTTTTTTTTAAAGATGGGGTTTCACCATGATGGCCAGGCTGGTCTTGAACTCCTGACCTCAGGTGATCCACCTACCTCGGCCTCCCAAAGTGCTAGGATTACAGGCACAAGCCACCACACCTGGCCGCAAGTAGGCTCTTACATTGATAGTCTGTAATTTTTACAAGGGTGTTGAAAATTTCCTTAATCCTGTTCCTTATACTAGGGAACCAGCAAAGTCAGTCCAAGGGAACTAGGTTCTTCCTATTTTTTTTTTTTTTTGGAGGCTCACACCTGCAATCCCAGCACTTTGGGAGGCTGAGGCAGGCAGATCACAAGATCAAGAAATCAAAACCATCCTAGCCAACATGGTGAAACCCTGTCTCTACTAAAAATACAAAAATTAGTTGGGTGTGGTGGCGCATGCCTGTGTAGTCCCAGCTACTTGGGAGGCTGAGGCAGGAGAATCATTTGAATCTGGGAGGCAGAGGTTGCAGTGAGCTGAGATCGCACCACTGCATTCCAGCCTAGCGACAGAGCAAGACTCATTTCAAAAAAGAAAAAAGAAAAAGGTGGTCTAGGGTGAGGTAAGTAGAAGGGAGCTTAAAGGAACTGTTAGTTGCTTGTGTCTCAGAAGTCTAGGAGTGAGGGACTAGGGGGAAGAGGAAGGAGGAGGGGAGAAGCCTCTTTTTACTCTCTAGTGATATAGCCTCAGGGCCCTGGGGAGGTCCACAATACAGGCAAGGCAGAAACAAAAGACCTTGGGCCCTCTGTGGCCTCAGAACTATAGAAGAGTGGACTTTCCCTCTTTGGCTCTGGTGTTTGCTGCCTGCTTCCGTGAAGGACTGGGAGAAAAAGCCTCCTAAGTTACAAATTGTCTGACTTGCTGACAAGTGCAGAGGGCAGGGTAGACAGGACTATTGATTTTCTTATGTTACCTCTAGAATATCCTCTAGAGAGTGTCTTTGAATGCTCAGTCCTTGCAAAGGTTTTCATTCTGGTCATTTAAAGAATAGGAGGACAAGGCCGGGTGCGGTGGCTCACACCTGTAATTCCAGCACTTTGGGAGGCCGAGGTGGGCAACAAGGTCAGGAGTTCAAGACTAGCCTGGCCAATATGATGAAACCCCATCTCTACTAAAAATACAAAAATTAGCCGGGCGTGATGGCAGGCAGCTGTAGTCCTAGCTACTCTGGAGGGTGAGGCAGGAGAATCACTTGAACCCGGAAGGCAGAGGTTGCAGTAAGCCGAGATTGAGCCACTGCACTCCAGCCTGGGTGACAGAGGGAGACTCTGTCTCCAAAAAAAAAAGAAAAAAGAAAAAAAAAAAGAATAAGAGGACAAGGGTTAGGGATGCTGGTTCTGCTGCCATTTGATTTGACTGGGTCTGGGCTGGGCTAGGGCCCAGTGACTCAAGGGGAGCGTGAATAGTTTTGAGGGAGCTATGAGTCATGGGTTGGGCTCCATCACAAGAGTTGGGCTCATTTTCCCCATTCTGGGCAGAAGCCCTCCTATCTTACTTTCCTGTGTGCTCTGTCCCCTTGAACATGGTCCTATGAGTACAAAGAGTGCTGGCAAAAGGGATGGGCAGCCTGAGCTCAGAAAGGGAGTTCAGAAACACAAAGAATAATGCTGGTCCCTAAAATTAAAATGTATCCCTATCATAGGAATCCTTGGGCTCCTCTAAAGAAGGCAAAAGAACATCAGTTAAGAGTAAGAGACGGAAAAATACCACTTCTTGTCATGGAATGAGATAGGGTCCCACCTCAGCCCTTTTCCTCTCTGGCGTGAAGGAAAGCTTCCTGGGCTTCACTAGTTCTCCAGTTCACTAGTTCTCTGGTTTGGAAGGTGGGGAAAGACAAATAGGAGTGAGGATATTTGAGGTCTGAGGTCTGGTATAGAGAGCAGGCTGACTTTGGGGGTTGTCATACTGTGTCTTTAAAGCCCTTGGGCTTCCTATTAATCGGCCTGGAAGGAGGAAGGGCGGGGGAGGGTGGAGGGGTAAGATGTGGGAGGACTACGCCTTCGAAGGGGTTAAATGGCAGGGCTGGGTGTTGCTTTGTACTCCAGCAACTGACGGGTTAAAGAGACGGGCGGAGCGACCTTGGGTAGGCCTACTCCGTTTTGGACCAATAGGCGTGTGCCTCTTGGAGGGGGCGTGCCTCACACTGGAGGTCGCGGGGAGGCTGGCTTCCTATGGACCAATGAGCATGATCGCTTTCCAGGGAGGGCGTGGTCTGAGGGGGGCGTGGCGGCCGTGGCCGCCGCGGCGCGGGCGGTGGGGCGCAGGGCGGGGCGGGCGGCCCCATCAGCTGGTAGGAAATGGCCTGTGAGTCAGAGGGGCAGTGGAGTTGGCGGCGCGGAGCCGGGGCGGCCCCGGGGAGGGACCGTCGCAGGGAGGGGCGCGGCAGCGGCTGGGGGCGCTGCGGACGCCAAGGTCCGCTAGTGTTGCACACGAAGCTGAACAGCGAAGAGCCTAGCAGAGAAGGGCTCAGCCTGAGCCACCCTTTGTCTGGGTTGGGGGCCTGTGGCAGGGAGGACCGGGGATCCGAGGGGAGGGACCGGGACGGGACGGAAGGGCCTGGAGCAGCGGCCACCGCAGCGGAGCCAATTTGGGAGCGGGGTGAGTGTGTGCTAGAGGGAAAAGCAAATCTCCGAAGCTCCACTACAGTATGGGGCCTGTCCCAGGCTGTGGGGAGGAGAGGATTGAAAAAGGACCTGGGAGGCTGCGCAGGGGGTAAGGGATCGTCCAGAACAAGGAGTCCAGGAGTGAGGTGAGTCTGCCCGGCTTAGTTTAGAGAGGCTGCTAAGGTCTGCTCCCTCCCCACTGAGGGTGGAGGGCTCTAGGCTTGGAGCCTAGGGATTGGTAAAAGAGGTCGACCTTCCTACCCACCGTGGTGGTCTGTGGGAACAGCCCCCTAGCTTGTGTGGACGTGTGTAGGGACAAAATAGAGAGCAGCTGGCAGCAGTTCTCTGCACAGGATGAGGGTGGAAAGCACATGGATAGGAATTCATCCTGTCACTCTTCTTGATCATGGTAGAAATGGAAATGTTTAATACTGAAGGGAAGGGGAGAATGAGCCTGGAAGCTGATACCTATACCAATACCCATCTCATCCACCTCCCAGGCCTCGAAGGTGTCTGAAGGTACAGGCGTATTCTGGGACTTGTTGTTTTTGCTAGCCTTACTCCCTTGGCATGTTGGGAGCTGTAGTCTTTGCTAGCTACAGCCTGGCACAGCTGTTTGATGCCAGCTGCTGCCCACCCCTGCAAGAAGAGTGAGGTTTCGCCTACTCTGCCCTGCCCCCCTCCCCTGCAGTCCTGCCCCATGAGTCAGCTTGAAGCCATGGTCTAGAGCCAGACTGGCTGGGTGGCAGGGGAGTGAATCTTAGAGCGTCTTGTTGACAGGGTAGGAACTGAGAGGGCTCTGGAGTTAATGAGCAGATGCCAGATATGCTGGGGTCAAGTAGGGCATCAGGTCATCACCTGGCTTCCCCAGGGCAAGGGCTCAAGAGGGCAACTGGGATGACCTGGAACTGGTGGTGCTAAGGAAAAGGCCCTTCCTGAATCTGTGTGGCTTGGGTGGAGGAAAGAAAGGGTTGAAATTAGTGCAGGTTGTACCTTCTGACAATGTTGCCATTGGTGTTCTGCCCTTTCCAGCCATTCCACCCACCACAGGGAACCAGGATTTTCTTAGGGATTTCAATTCTAAGGAGAATTTGGTGAAGTGGGATAGTGGGGTACAATGATGGGAACTTGGTGTGGGAGAGCTTTTCAGTCTCTGGGTACAATCTCTTTCTGCCTCCCTCCAACCCCCACCTCTGTTGTTCCTGATTCTCTCTTATACAATTAATATTTCTGCTTCTGTCTCTGGGGAATTTTTCTCTGCACTGTCAAGACCGCTGCCCAGATCTTTGGGACTTGAATTCTACTTTTTTTGAGCCCTGCTGTGTGCTTACCCCTGTACTTGGAGTTGGATGGAGGAATGGGACACAGACCTGTCCTCAGAAACTTTGTGGTCAGTCTAGAAGATGCTTTACCCACAGGAGTCAGCAGAACTGTTATTGAACTTATAGGAAGTAGTAAGACTGCCATAGGTGAGGTCTCAGAGGAGAGAGAGATGCTTATGGTCTGGGGTGGATAGAGCAGACTTTCTGGAGGAGATGGCATTTGGCCTAGCCAAGGAGGAAGAGTCTTGGGTAGGCATTCAGAGGGCACTCCTCAAAGGGGAAAGGGCATTGTGAAAGTCAGATAGCATGGGTTAATGCCCAAAGGAGAAGGCTGACTGGGGGCAGTTGGCTTTCAAATTGACATTCCCCTCACCCTAGTATGGGTCTTAGTGAAGACCATCTTGTGCTCCAGGAGTTTGAGGTTTTGGTGTTGGATGTGTGAGTGCTGGGGGAGGGGCATGGAGCGGTACTCCTTAGTTGTTTCCAGCTGACTGACTTCTGCAGCCTTATCTCTAGTTTGCAGGGCCTTGCAGGAGGGCCCTGGAAAGTGCCTTCTGGCAGTGACTCCTTCCCCTTCCCCCTCTTGTTTTTGGTCAGATTTGTTGCCTCTTGTTAAACAGACAGACTGCTGGAGGCAATCTGGAGTTTAGGGCTGAAGGACCAGCTTTGAGCTGACTTGAGGTTTGTAGCTCTGAGGACTGCTGATGGGGTGTAACTGTAAGACTTCTGGCCTTAGTGCTTCAGGATGGCACTTGTCTCTTTGGAGATAGACAAATAAGAAGGAGTTGTACAATTTGATGGCTTTGAGTAAGAGAGCTGAATTCTGGCCCTGGTCACCTCTCAGCTGGCCTGGTCTCTTGAATCTAGGGGGTCTCTCATCCCTTCCTCCATGTAGGGCAGGAGACCTCAAATGATGGCCCTGACAAGTAGTTATTCTACCTCAGCTTACTTGTCACATCCTTATTACACTGAACCAAGTCCTGCCTCTCTGACTCCTTAGGTAGCCCAACTCTGCCATCTGGGCCCTGGATCCCAAGCCTGCCCTCTCAATTTCTGAAGAACCTCTCACATGGGAGAAGGATGTCCTGGGGTGTACTTATATTAGCCTATAATTGGTGACAGGCCTTACTGCTGGCTCCAGTGTTCCTGGCTTATGTCTGTTCTTCTCTCCTCAGGGTCCTGCTGAGCCCAGGAGCTGCACGGAATGGTGGCAGTCACCTTGCCAGTGCAGCAGGCATGGATCAGACTGCAAGTTAGGGGCACAAGGCATCAGTTGGGAAGAGGGGACGCACAGCTAGGCTTAAAGCCTCTTCATCGGGGTAAGTGCCAGGGAGAGGGAGGGGGAAGCAGGTCCAGTAAGAAGCCTGAGCTAAACCTGTCACCTTCTCAGGAGTTCTGAGAGTGGTCTCTATAATCCATTAGTCCATCCAGGGATTTGTATACATTTACTCCTGGGAACCCATTAAAGTCACCTCTTCAGGCAAGGAGAGGGTCTGAATCTCAGCTGGAAGGAAGAAAACTCATTGATTCCCCTGACCACCTTTTTTTCTCTTCTCTTACACAGATGTCCCCAGGCCCCCCAGCCCAGGCCCAGCATAAAGGCCGTGTTGGGGGGCCCCCCTGACCCAAGGGGGGCTTCATGCGCCACGTGCAGTCGGAGCCGTCTCCATCCTCAGAGCCAGAGGCTGGCCCTTCACAGCCTCCAGTCAGGCAGGGGGCCCTCCAGGGTGGCCTGCTCATGGGCTATAGCCCAGCAGGGGGGGCGACATCCCCCGGGGTCTACCAGGTATCCATCTTTTCCCCTCCAGCTGGTGCCTCTGAACCTCACAGGGCCCTGAAGCGACCAGCCCCACCCACTGAGGGTCCCCGGGAGCTGAAGAGAGGCCCTGGGCTGGGGGCCAGAGAGGGATTACCCCCTGAAGAACCATCTACTGTGGGGCTCTTGGGCCCAGAGGGACTGGGGCTGGGACTAGGTGTGGCCAGCCAGCATTTCTCCCACCGTGGCCTCTGTGTTGTGGAACAGGGAAGTAGTGTCACCTCATCTTGGACTTCAGGGGCCTGGAGTCCCCTCTGCCCCCCAGCAAATGCTTCCTGCAATACTTTGCACACCAGAGACTGGGCCTCCCCAGATCCAGGGGGACAGGGTTCCCTGGGGGAGTCCCCAGGGCCAGCCCCTCCCGGCCAGCTGCACACAATTGACACTGATTTGCACAGTCTTGCACAAATAGGGGGTAAGAGCCCAGTGGCTGGGGTGGGTAATGGGCATAGCCTCTGGCCTAGGGAGTCCCCTGGCACTGCCAATGGGCACAGTCCCGAGCACACACCCCCTGGCCCTGGACCTCCAGGCCCCTGCCCCACCAAGCGAAGGCTGCTTCCTGCTGGAGAAGCCCCAGATGTCAGCTCTGAGGAAGAGGGGCCAGCCCCTCGGAGGCGCCGGGGAACCCTGGGCCACCCTACTGCTGCCAACAGTTCTGATGCCAAAGCCACACCCTTCTGGAGCCACCTGCTGCCTGGGCCCAAGGAGCCTGTTTTGGTAAGCCAATGAAGGAGCTCAATTACTCTTTCTCACTCCATCACTGCTTGAGTGTAGTGGTACAATCTTGGCTCACTGCAATCTCCTCCTACCAGACTCAAGCGATCCTCTCACCTCAGCCTCCTGAGTATCTGGGACCACAGGCATATGACATCGTACCCAGCTCATTTTTTGGTAGTTTTGGTAGAAATGGGGTTTCGCCATGTTTCCCAGGCTGGTCTTGAATCCTGAGCTCAAGTGATCTACCTGCCTTGGCCTTCCAAAGTGTTGTGATTACAGGCGTGAGCCACTGTGCCTGGCCTTCATGTACTCTTAAGTGGATATTTGTGTGGGTAAAGGTGGAGGCCTGGGGGAGGTGATGTTCCTTTGAGAGTTTGTGATGAGCTTCTACCCCGAAACATACGTGGGCTTTCACCCAGTCTCTCTTCCCAATCTTTTATCTCTATAGGACCCAACAGACTGCAGTCCCATGGGGAGGAGGCTGAAAGGTGCCCGTCGCCTGAAGCTGTAAGTGACCAGCTTTTCCCTCTACCCTGTTGCTGAGAATGGGAGCAGAAGTCTGTAATCTTCTTTCCAGTACCAGAGTAGGGGTACCCCAGGGCAGAAGCCCTAGATAGTGGCAAAGGGTGGAGTCCAAGGGCATGAGCAGGAATCCCAGAATACCTCAAGCCAACCCCCTGTGTGTTCTCTCCTCTACCAGGAGCCCCCTTCGAAACCTCCGGAAGGGTCCAGGCCTGCTGAGCCCCCCCAGTGCCTCCCCTGTTCCTACCCCTGCTGTCAGCCGTACCCTGCTGGGCAACTTTGAGGTAGCTCCCCTTGGGCTCTGTGACTGGGAGGGTCCAGGGAGGGGTGGGATGGTGGAATGTGTCTTCGATGGATAAGGAAAAGAATCGGCATCTTTCTCATAATGTGTTTTCCCCACCCTAACCCCAGGAATCATTGCTGCGAGGACGTTTTGCACCATCTGGCCACATTGAGGGCTTCACAGCAGAGATTGGAGCTAGTGGGTCCTACTGCCCCCAGCATGTCACGCTGCCTGTCACTGTTACCTTCTTTGATGTTTCTGAGCAGAATGCCCCGGCTCCCTTCCTGGTATGCCTTGACTCCAACCCCAAAGTCAGCTCATCAGGAGGATGAGGGGTTGGGGGCAGGGCCAAGGGGCAAGAGGTATTTCTTGCTTATTCCTCACCTAGGAGTGAGTCAGGTCAGGGCAAGGTGAGGAGAACTCTAGAGTGGGGCAGGGACAGGTTCAGGGTGAGAGATTGTAGAGAGGGATGTGTATTTAGGGCTCAGGGTTTTCCTAGTCCCCATCTTGACTCATGGCTCCCTGTCCTTCCCAGGGCATCATGGATCTGAAACCCCTGGGGAGGAAGGGTTACAGCGTGCCCAAGGTGGGCACCATCCAAGTGGTGAGTTTGCCCTGAGGGAGTGGGAATGGAGAGAGAGAAAAGCAGCCCTCAGGCTCTACCAACCTTAACTGTCCTGCCCCCAGACCTTATTTAACCCCAACCAGACTGTGGTGAAGATGTTCCTCGTGACCTTTGACTTCTCGGACATGCCTGCTGCCCACATGACCTTCCTGCGCCATCGCCTCTTTTTGGTGCCTGTGGGTGAGGAGGGAAATGCTAACCCCACCCACCGCCTCCTCTGCTACTTGCTGCACCTCAGGTGAGGAGAGGGCCCAGGGACAGCTGGGGAGGCCCATGTATTCCCTGAAGAGGTTCTCTCCTTCTGAACTGTCTGGATTCTTATTGGTGTATTTTTAAATGTTTATTTATACATTTATTTATTTAGTTTTAGGGATGGGTTCTCGCTATGTTGCTCAGGCTGGTCTCCAACTCCTGGGCTCAAGCAGCCCTCCCACTGGGGCCTCCTAAAGCACTGGAACTACAGGCATGAGCCACTGCAACCAGCCTGGATTCTTACTTTGATCACATTGTCCTCCTCCAGGTTCCGGAGCTCCCGCTCAGGCCGCTTAAGCCTGCATGGAGATATCCGCCTGCTTTTTTCCCGCCGGAGCCTAGAGCTGGACACAGGGCTCCCCTACGAACTGCAGGCTGTGACTGAGGCCCCTCATAATCCACGTTATTCACCTTTGCCCTGATTGCCAGCACTCTGAACCCATGTGGGCTAATGACCTGCCCATCCTGCTTCATCTTAGAGAACATGTATGGAGAGATGGCAAGAGACCCTTAAGGCTTGAATTAAAGCCCTCATCATGCTTACGCCCAGATGGATTATTTGGGTGTTTAAAGCTTCTGATCTTTACTACACCCTGCCCTACTTCGGGTACTCCATGTGCCTGTCCCTTCCCTTGGGTTTCCCAGGCCAGCTTAGGTAGTAGGGAGGAACCGGAGCTACCCTGAGGTTGTCCCAAGTTCCCAGGCAAGTCATGCCAACGTTGCCTCCTTGTCCTGGGCAGGGGCCACTTATTATTTTATTTATTTTTAATTTATAATTTATTCAAATTGGATTGCCTTGGTAACCTCCCACACCTGGTAATTGGCATCACCCCATCCCCCTCTTTTCCTACTCTCAGATACTGCTCCAACCTCAGGAGTTGAAGAGGCTTATGCGGAGGGTGGAAGGAGAACTGCTGTCTCTCAGCTGAGGGAAGAGGGGTTATTCCAGAGGGACTGAGTCAGTAGCCAAAGACTCAGTTTCCCCTGTCCTTCCCCTAGTCCCTTCACTTCCCCTACCCTTTGACCTATCTCTGAAAGCCAAGTGATGTGTATGTGTGTGTGCGCACAAGCTTGTCTTTGTGTGATATGTGTGTGTGAGTGTGCCTGTATGCACACACACAGGGGTTAACCACCCTCACCTAGGGCTCCAGACTCCAGTTGTCCCTTTCTTCCTACCTGTGTCTCCTTGCTTTGGGGTCCTGACTGAAGAAGGTGTCCAGGGGACAGAGTCAGGGCCAAGGACTGGGGTGCCTCCTCTCACCTGGCCAGACTCTGACCCACCTACCTCAGCTGGGGTGAGGGGCACTCCTCAAACTCAGTCATGTGGTTCCCAGCTACCCCATTTCCCACTCCAGACTCTGACCCAGCCTCAGTCCTGACTCCTGGGGCTGGGCTGAGGGGAACAAGCATTTGCTGAAACTTGAAAAAACAAAACAAAAACAGGAAAAAATTGTACCTGGTACTTTTTTTTTAGAAAAAAAAAAGATTAAAAAAGAAAGAATAAATTCTTGTTTGGAAACTTGAACTAAGCTCTACTTTTTTTGTTGTTGTTGGGGAGAGGGTGTTAAGGGCGATGGAGGCCTGCCTGGAGTTGGGACTCTGACCTTTCCACCAGAGAGGAGGCAACAGGCCTGGGCCCATGAGGTCTTAGGCTAGTCCCTGCTGATTCTTGGGGCCTGGTATGGCTCCTTTCAGAGGGGTTGGTGGATAAAGTTCAGCTGTAGGTGCTGAACTCTGAATTGTAGATCAGGATTCTAATACTGGTTCTGTTAATGACTAGCCCCTCAGAACGTCAGTGCCTTCATATGTAAAATGGAGGTGACTACGGAGGCCTCTTGACTACCAGAGCATTAGGGATGTGCGCATGGTGACATGTTCCAAACAAGGTTGAACGCTGAGGCTGTTTGCTGGACTCTGTGTGTAAGACTAGGCATGACAGACCTTGCTTGGAAAGACAGGGAAAGAGCTGTACTGTCTTGAGATAAGAGGGGAGGGGAAAATCTCGGCCCAGTCGCCAGGCAATGTTAGGCCCAGTTTCCATGGCAGCAAGATTGGGGTCAGTCCCCAGTGGGAGGGCTGGGCACCGCACAGCGGGACTACCAGAAAATGTCACTATGGCAACCATGGCAACGAGTCAGCTCCAATCCACTGGTCGCTATAGTGACAGACGGGGCGATTCTACGTTCTGGAGGGCAAACTAAGTCTCAGGTGAGGGTCAAGAATTCAGCGCGTGCTGTCTGTGAATGATATGCACACGGAAAATAGCCTCCATTTGGGCCATCAGGCCGGGATCTTGCCCGCGAATAGCTAAACCCGGGACAACCGCAGCCCTCCGCCTTCTCTGGAAGGTCTGCGTTTCCCAAGGAACAATTTGAGGCGCGTTAGACCAAGTAACCCTGATTGGGTGAGTGTTGAAAGAGGGAGGGAACGGCCGGAAGTACATCCGGGGGAGCGGAACAGCTCGGGTAGGCTGCTGGGAGCGGCCGCTCTGCTCCACGTCTCGTTGGTTCCGGAGGTCACTGAGGCGGTGGGAAATGCTGGCGCGCGCGGCGCGGGGCACCGGGGCCCTTTTGCTGAAGGTGAGAGCAAGGCAACATTTCCAGAGGGTCGGGACGGAGATCACTTGCGTCTTCCGCTGGGAAAGAGCGAAATTGCAGCTTTGGGAGAGGACTGGGGTCAGAGGTCATGGTCCCCATGTGATTCTCTCTCCGAAGATCCTGAGGATCGTGGTTTATGGATATGCCTTCAGGACCGAGGGGCGGGGTGTCTGGCCAGATGGGATCCCTGCTCACCCACTTCTTTCCTGCAGGGCCCTCTACAGGCTTCGGGCCGCGCTCCGCGCCGCGCCTCCTCTGGATTGCCCCGAAACACCGTGGTACTGTTTGTGCCGCAGCAGGAGGCCTGGGTGGTGGAGCGAATGGGCCGATTCCATCGGATCCTGGATCCCGTGAGAACCTCTTCTGCCCACCCTGGGCCAACCAGATGACCAATCCCTCACGACATGGAGTGTTGGGAGGACCTCCTTTGGGCCTCCCCTCACTGTTAGCTCCCAACTCTACAGGCCAGACCTGACAGGGCCAAGGCTGCTGACCATCATCCCCATGTTACCACCTTTTCCTATGCATCTCATAGGTCCCATTTTTGGGAATCTCCCCTGCCCTACCTCTTAGGCTCCATAGAGATGGCTATTCTACTGGCTCCAATTCTCATAACTCTCTCCCCTCCATTCAGGGGCCTAGTCTTGCATTCCTCTTCTCTTGGGTTTTCTTACCAGTAACACCTCAGTCTTCTGAGGACTTATTTCTTGGTAGGGGCTGCTGCTTTTCTGGGCATGTTCCACGTGTTGACTCCCTGCATACTCCAGGACTCACTTAGGTCCCAATCCCATAGTTCCCATCCTTCTGAGGACCCATGACTCCTCTTCCCAGGGTTTGAACATCCTCATCCCTGTGTTAGACCGGATCCGATATGTGCAGAGTCTCAAGGAAATTGTCATCAACGTGCCTGAGCAGTCGGCTGTGACTCTCGGTGAGGGTTCAGAGTGACATGGGTGCTCTGAGACTGTTAGGATGTGGTTGCTGTAGATCCAGAGTGTAGGAGAAAGAACTGGTTGGGACTTAGAGGCCTGACTTTCCTCCTTTTCTCTCCTGGTTCTACAGACAATGTAACTCTGCAAATCGATGGAGTCCTTTACCTGCGCATCATGGACCCTTACAAGGTATCTGCCCCCTACTTTATCCAGCCTTTTCGGTTGCCCTCTTCACTGAAATCTTGTGCCCAAGCTTCTTACACTGTCCATGCCCGTTTCAGGCAAGCTATGGTGTGGAGGACCCCGAGTATGCTGTCACCCAGCTAGCTCAGACAACCATGAGATCAGAGCTCGGCAAACTCTCTCTGGACAAAGTCTTCCGGGTAAGCAAATCTGAGCCAGAGTTAGGATTTGAAGGCACAAATCTGACACTCCCAATCCTTTCTGAAGGTCAAGATTAGTCCCAGGCCCATCTCAGTTTAGGCCCTTGATAGGTAGGTTGAGGCTGCGGGGCTTATACCTTTCTTTCTCCAGGAACGGGAGTCCCTGAATGCGAGCATTGTGGATGCCATCAACCAGGCTGCTGACTGCTGGGGTATCCGCTGCCTTCGTTACGAGATCAAGGATATCCATGTGCCACCCCGGGTGAAAGAGTCTATGCAGATGCAGGTAGGGGCCAAGCGGGGGTGGGAAAAGGACCTCAGGGTGCTCCAGTCCCAGGAGGATCCAGACTCCTCCTGTTGTGATGGGTAGAGTTGCAGGTCTGTGTGGGTTTCCCTTGGCTTGTTGATTGGGGTTGTGGCGGACTTCCAGGTGGAGGCAGAACGGCGGAAACGGGCCACAGTTCTAGAGTCTGAGGGGACCCGAGAGTCGGCCATCAACGTGGCAGAGGGGAAGAAACAGGCCCAGATCCTGGCCTCCGAAGCAGAAAAGGCTGAACAGATAAATCAAGCAGCAGGTCAGGAGAGGGTAGAAGCTCAGGGAGGAGCAAGGCATGGTCCTTTGAAGATTGGTTCTGGGGCAGGAGCTTTGGGGTACTGTGACTTCATGGGTCAAGCAAGCTCTGTCCCTTCTCTTGCAGGAGAAGCCAGTGCAGTTCTGGCCAAGGCGAAGGCTAAAGCTGAAGCTATTCGAATCCTGGCTGCAGCTCTGACACAACATGTGAGAGGCCCCTGAGTGGGAATGGGGGACGGACATTCACAGTGGAAGGAGTTCTCTTATCTACCCCTGAGGAGAGTTCCTGCCTCTGTGGGCTCTGTTGAGCCAGATTACATGGTCCTTTTTATTGTGAACTGCTTTCTTCATTCCCCATCCACCCCTCCTCCATGTCTGTGATCTCTGATTTTATCCCTCTGTGTCACAGAATGGAGATGCAGCAGCTTCACTGACTGTGGCGGAGCAGTATGTCAGCGCATTCTCCAAACTGGCCAAGGACTCCAACACTATCCTACTGCCCTCCAATCCTGGTGATGTCACCAGCATGGTGGCTCAGGTTAGAGCTCTCTGAGAACCCAGCACAGAGTATCAGTGCCAGGGCCTGAACTGAGACCCCACCACCGTCATCCACACTTACATACCATAAAGGTCTTCAGAGTGCCTTGGCCCTACACCTCCCTTCATTCTTTGTAGAGATGGAATCTAAGAATGAAACATCTCCACTCAGTCCTGCAAATATGGAAATTCTTGAGATTTCTTTTTTTGGCAGATACCTATGTGGTATTCTGAGAGTCACCTTACTCCAATGGTTTGTAAGATTCCTAAAATCAACTCCAGAGCTTACAAGACAGGCTTGAGAGAGGGAGGAAGGAAAACCAACTCACTGGCCCCCATGCCATCTTTTCCCTTTTACCCATCGATAGGCTGGGCTGCACCTCTGTCAAATGTCCTCATGGTACTCTCTCTGTCCCTCTCCCCAGGCCATGGGTGTATATGGAGCCCTCACCAAAGCCCCAGCACCAGAGGCTCCACACTCAGTCTCCAACGGGAGTAGCAGAGATGTCCAGAGTACAGATGCAAGTCTTGATGAGGAACTTGATCGAGTCAAGTTGAGTTAGTGGAGCTGGGCTTGGTCAGGGAGTCTGGGGACAAGGAAGCAACATTTCCTGATTCTGGCTCTAGCTTCCCTGCCAAGATTTTCGTTTTTATTTTTTTATTTGAACTTTAGTCATGTAATAAACTCACCAGTGGCAAACCAGAAACTGTCCTCTTTGATTGTGGAATGAAGTTGGGAAAGTCACTAGCGTTTTCCTTGGATCCAGTCCTGTCAGCATGATGCCTCTGAACAACAGTGACAAGACAGGAAGCAGACAGTGATAGAAAGTGATAAATGTGGCCAGGCATGGTGGCTCATGCCTATAATCCCAGCACGTTGGGAGGCTGAGGTGGGCAGATGACGAGGTCAAGAGATCCAGACCATCCTGGCCAACATGGTGAAACCCCATCTCTACTAAACATACAAAAATTAGCTAGGCGTGGTAGTGTGCACCTGTAGTCCCAGCTACTCTGGAGGCTGAGGCAGCAGAATTGATTGAACCTGGGAAGCGGAGGTTGTAGTGAGCCAAGATCATGCCACTGCATTCCAGCCTAGGACAGAGCAAGACTGTCTAAAAAAAAAAAGAAAGAAAGAAAGTGATAAATGCTGTGATAGAGGAAAGTTCTGGCTTTGGGATCCTGGTGGGAGGAGCATATCAGCTTGTGAGTAGCAGGGTTGCTGACTGCCATTGTGCTCAGGCTGGAAAAACTAGCACGTTTTCATCAGGTCCTGGACCACAATATACAAAGCCTCACTGCTTGAAATAAGTTGGCTGAAGGGTATAGTGTTAAGGGGGATGTGACTACATGGCAAGGGTCAAGTCACGGAGTGAGATTCTTGTGAAGGGGTTGGACATTATCCCTAGGGTAATAGGGAAACCATGAAGGGTTTTTTTTTTCCCCTTCCCATGAATAATTTTAAAATAAAACATCACATTGGCTGGGCACAGTGGCTCATACCTATG